GAAATTAGAGAACGCACCCCGCGCACCACCCGCTGTTCCCTACCGCCTCCCGCGCGGCGACCCACGTCACTCTGCGCTCCTGGCACGTGGGCGGACGCGGCCATTCTCCGAAGCGCTGGGTTCGCCCGATTCATTTTACGCGGGAAGGGCGCTGCGGGGTCACGCAGTCATTCAGTCACTGATTCATTCATCGACTCATGCCTGCGGCAGGTCCGCGGGCACTGAGCCCCGCCTCTGAGCCCCACGCCCCACGCTAGGGGCGGCGCGGGACCCCTGGCTCGTCCGGCAGGGACAGCCACGCAGGAAATGCGCGGGCTCGGCGCCGCGAGTGGGAGCGGGCTGGGTGACCACGGAGGCTGGCGGGGCTGAAGCGAACGCATCGCCTTCCTACGGCCCCGGGCCGCGCAGTGCCGAGACCCCACTTCAGAGGTGTCAAGGCCACTGAGTCCCCTGCAGGGTCTGGAACCCGCATCGATTTCACACCAGACCACAATGGGAACCGGCGCGAAGACCCGTGAGCCCCCTGCCCGCCTTGAGGACCAAGGGTCCAGGGCTGCCTGGCCCGCGGGGTGCGCTGGCCTACAGAACACAAAGCTGAATAACGAGCGGCCATGGGGTGGGCGGGGACCTAGCCTCCCCCAAGAGGTCTGGGGTGGCGGGCATCTCCGCAGCACCATGAGACCCTTGGGGACACTGAGGCTCTCAGTGTTGTAGCCGCCAGCCCCAGAAAGACACACGGACCACCAGAAATCAGTGAGTTATAGGAAACATGCTCTTTATTCAGCCAGCTGGGTCTGCCAGGGGTACGCAGACCCCAAATTAAGCAGCCCCGAAATGTAGAGGTACATGGTTTTTAAGCCCTAAATCCCATTCCTCATTCTGTCTTAAACACAAAGGTCTATTTTTCTCCTATTCACTACCTGTCAACCCACAGGTCGGTTGTGCAGGCGGGGGTACAGAAGCAGAAAGCTTATTGTTAGACTGTTATGTTCCCATGGGTGACGGCCTATGTTCCCATGGGCGATAGCCAAGCAGTAATTTTCCAGCCAGCACATCAGTCCCCTACCCCCCGCCACATGGCTGGGCCACGTGGCCCGTGTACACCCCACCACCCACGCCCTGGCTCTATGTTCAGAGCCTACCTTCAAGTGGGTCGGGGCACAGCCCGGCTGTCACGACCCCCGCCCTCGCCACAGCTGAGTGGCTCTCTGCCGCTTCCCCTGGCTGTCCCCCACCCCCACCCCTCGGTTTTGAACCTCCAGACGTGGCGACCTGGGTCTTCTATGGTAACCCAAAGCAGCATGTTTGAACCTCTCTGGCCAGGTGAGAAGGCGGACTCGTGGCCAGGCCAACGCTGGGCGGGTGCGGAAGGGGGGCAGAGCACAACTGTGCGCGTTTTAAAGCCGATGTATGTGGATCGTAGTCGATAATTGTTGATTGATAGTAGCTAACATTTACTGAGTGTTTCCCATGCGCTGAGCACGTTACACGCATTAACACATTTAATCTTGTTGAAAACAAAGTTCGAGTAAATCTGAAGATCTGATTGGCTTTATGAAGCTGCAGGAGTCAGGCAGCAACCCGAAGGGCAGGGAGGGGCCGTGCACAATGGAGTGGGGGGGCAGAGGTTACTCAGGCACAGACACCCCTAATGCCTTTCCCTAGGGGAAGGCAGGGGGCCCTTATTAGGCAGTTTATCTTGCTCCAAAGGTTCGGTAATTTCCAGATTACTCGGTTATCAATTCCGCTCCCGGAAGAGGCTGAAAGTGCAGTTAGTTAGGTTAGTGATCGAGTCTCTGGTTTGGCACCAGTGACGCCATCTTGACTGTTGTTTCTTCTTTTCTTCTTCTTTTTGTTTTTTTTAAACAGTCTTCATAGCCACCCCACACAGTAGGGTTAAGGTTACCGCCAGTGACAGCGTTGCTGGACGGGAGCCCCTGCGATTCATGGCGGCCGGCAGCGCCAGCCACTGCCCTTACTGTCCGCTTCTTGTGCCTCCCCTGTGAGCTCAACTGCTCCTGGCTCCTAGGAGGGCTGATGAGCCCACCCTCTGCAGCCGATCACACCCCCTGCTGGCCACTCCATCACCCAGGTCCCTCTCCCTGGGAAACCTCACAGCACCCTCCCCTCCCCTCAGTCCCCACCCCGTCACAGTTTGGGCCCAGATCAGATTTACAAAGTACTAAGAACGGGCAAGGGGCTGGCAGGCCTCCAGGCCTCGGCCCCGCCCCCAACCCTCCTCCTTGAGGGATGACGCAGGTAGCCCCGAGGGCAAAACCCTGAGCGTGGCATTTGGGTGAATTTACTTTTCCCTGGGCTTTTGGATCTCGGTTCCTGTTCTCAGTGCCTGAGGTTCTCAAGATGGTCACATGAGAGTCACCTGAGGAACCTGGTAAAGTAGCCAGGGCCCAGCCCCCTCCCTGGGCCTGTCCAGCCCTCAGCTCCCAAATGCTTCTGAGACCGCCCAAGTGTGAGAAGCTTTGTCCCATAACTGAGTCTATTTTGTATCTTTATGAGCACTGTCCATTGCCAGTAATCGGCAGCCCAGGAACAAACCTCTTTCCTTGATGAATCAGGTAGCGAAGACCTTTCAGAAACTATCAATCTGTTGGCATTGGGGTGAGGCGTGGCCCGCAGAACCCCTCCCATTCATTCCCAGTACCCCCAGGCTGCCAAGCAGCCTTCCCTGGCAGAGGGCCCTACCCCTAGTTCCTGGCAAATGCCCTGCAGGGGCGGCATCCGGAAGGCTTCCTGGAAGAGAGGGTGTCTGGAGAAGCCTGGGGGTGGCTCCAGGAGAGGGCCTTTATGGGGTTTCCACTAGAAGGCCAGGCCAGGCAGGCAAGCAGGCTGGATAGCCACCGGCTGGAATAATTTCGGCGGCACTGGCCCATCGGGGCTGTGTCTACTTGTCTAGTCCCTGGTTCTGGGTGATTAGGGCAGGGGGGTGGTGCCTCCCAGAGTGTGCAGACCACAGAGGCATGGCTTGCAGTGTGGGCTCTGATTGGTCAGTCTGCAAGTGAAAGATAGACTTGCAGTCTCTAAGACCTGGCTGACCCTGGGAGGGGCGTCAGTCACAGTCCCCAAATCCCCAGAGGCCAGAGTGTCAAGAATGCAGGAAACAAGAAAACGTAGTTAATACACTGGATCCCGGAGCCACACCACGTGGAGACTGAAGCGGGGAGTGCTCGGTCAAGCTTCCCGCTCATTGTTTATCTGGGACACACACACACACACCACACACACACACACACACACACACGCCCTGGCGGTGAAAATCCCACTCTCTCTCATGGCCGATGGACTGACCCCGAGCCGCCATTTTTAATGAAGGATCTAGTTGGAAATCCTTCCAGATTTACGAAGCGGCTCCATCTTTTCGAGAACAGTCTTTTGGACGTTTCTCAGTCTCAGGACGTCTTTCTTAACCGGCAATAACTGAAACTGAAACCTGGATGACAGTGTTTTGTTTGTTTTGTTTTTAGAGTTTGATTAGAGAATTCTCTTTTTGCTTTCCTCTTGAGAATAGCCAATTATTTTGAACCTTTAAATCACCTTGGACCAGTGTCTTCAGAAATGCGAGCGAATCCCCTAGATTCTCTCCTGAGCTGTCTGGGCGCAGTCTGACTTTTTAATCCCCAAATTTGCTTGTCTGGTTGGAGGCTCATCTCACAGTCCTCGAGTCAATGAGCTGGCCCCTGACAGCCTCTCAGGCTCTCTCCTAGGTCTGTTCTCACTGGCTCCACCAAAAACAGCTCCAGGCCATCTAAGTTCCAGCTGAAGCCCATGAGGAGCTGTCACTACACAAATAAATAACCTTGAACCTCACCCTCTATTCTTAACCAGCTTTTAGTGGGATTGTTTTCTCTCTCTCCTTAGTGGTACTTCAATTAAGAAAAGGTTTATAATCGGGGCCCATAGCTGAGAATTTTAGGCCCGCAAGGGGTCTTGTGGGACAACTATTACCAAGAAAGAAAAGAAGGAAAGCGAGAAAATCTCTCCTTTAGTGTGACCTCCTCGTCCACAGGAGCATTCGGGCCGTCCTCGCATCTGACTGGAAGCCCCACGTGCCGACCCAGACGGTTTGACATTAACTTTGCTGCAGCCGTGGCCTTTTCTTATGCACATTGTACACCCCAGAGATTCTTACCCAGAACACGGAAACCCCTCATCGTCCCGCGGTCCTGGAGATGTGCAGAATTCTGTTCTTTCCGTGCACATCTGTCTGGTTTTGCATAATACATGGTAAGTGCTCAAGAAAGATATCGATGTCAGATTTTTTAAAAAATTGGAATTGTAATGTATTGCAATTATACATAATATTATATTTTTATACCTTCCACATGTCCTCCGATGTTGCTCAGTCGTCTTTCACGGCTGCATTATTTCTATCACATGGAGTTACAAGAATTTCTCTAACCAGTCCCCTATTATTGGATAATTAGGTTGTTTCCAGCTTTCACCGTTAAAAATATTTCACTGGACTTACTTGTAAATAAATCTTTGTGTGTGTTGTTATTACTTTCTTAGTATCAATAATGAAGAGAAGTGACTGGTAAAAGAGTAGTTTACATGTTTAGATTCTTAACATATATTCCAAATTGTCCTCCAGGAAAGTGTGTAATCGATACTCTGGTCAGCACCTGACGATAATTTTAGCACAGCCTCATCGAAACTACATTTCTATATTTTTAAAGAATCCTTGAAAACTGGCAAGGGGAAAAAAAACAAGACGTTTTTAGATACGAACTTGTGTAACCTCTCTTGGGTTTTATGAAAGTTACATATGTAAATAAAAGGGATTAATCTAATTTTTGAAGCTGGATTTTTAGAGGTAGACAGTCTTCCGTTTGCTTCCGAAATCACACCACACAGGCCAG